TGTAAAGAAACTAATTCAGTTCCTCATAAACTAATGAATTTTCTGGTTGGTTTCAGCTGTTCATCAACATAAAAAAAGGGTTGAATCAATTTTGTATTTCAATCAAAGCCTCAACAAAATTTTATTTTTTTTTTTCAAAATATTTTGTAGTTTGAAGGCTAAAAAGTCATTGGGAAACTCAATAGGATCAACTCACTAATCAGTTATAAAATGTACATATGTATGCAATTGCAAAATATTTAATTCATGGAAGGTCTTAAAAATTTAATCCTTAATAATTGACAAAGAACAGATTTTTGAAACCTTCTAAATAAATAAATAAACAGCAAATTCTGTCTGTCTGTCTGTGTGTCTGAAACCCCCTCTGACTCAGGCCAATTTGCTCTACATAGACATATTATACCTTTTTTGAATCAGGATGATCCTGGGATTGAAAATCTGCCCTTCATCTGGTGTTTGAACATCCAGCATTGGGATTTGTGTCCAAATGAGGAGGAAAAAGTTAAAAATTCAAATTTTAAAATAAAAAAAAAAAATTAGTGATTTTAAAAGTTTTTAATTTATATTGAGTTTAAAGTAACTCAAAAACTGCAAATTTAAAAATTTGTTTTAAATTCAGTTTAAAACATCTCCAATACTTTGTGAATTGAGGAAATCAATTTTATTTCTTCAAAATGCCAAGGAGTTAGAGTGAGAGGTTTCGCAATATGAGATTTTGAAGTTTGTGATTTGAAGAACTCAATTTCAGCCTTAATTGGAATTTCAGCCCAAATCAGTCTTTTGGCTGGAATAGGACTTAAAGCCTGAATCAGAATTAAAGTGAGGTTTTGAAGTTCCATGGAGTGAATTGAGGGATTCAAAGTTATTTCTTCAAAATTAATGGCATTTTTTTAGATAGTTATATCAAAAAGAAATTTCAAAGTTTTTGAGAAGTAGGAATTTTCAGCCGTCACTCAAGTAAGGTATTAATTTTCTTAGACCCTATTCGGCTCCATCTGCAATATGAACTGCATAAAAGTGAAAAGAAAGAATTCAATATTCCCAGTATGAAATTCATGATTTTCTTAAGTCTTAACTTCCTGACATTGCAGATAAAGGTTTCATCCCAAGTAGGGCAATAAAGCCACTAAGATGCAAGGGGTTACTCAGTGTTAGAGAAAAAACAGTATTAAGGAGAGTGAAAAATAAAAGACCAGGAATTGAGAAGATAACGATTGACATTGCATTTAAATTTTTGAAGATCAAACTTGACTGGGAAGCAAGAACCTGGAGGAGAGTTCCACAAGTGAGAAGTGTGATAGAAGAAACTATTAACATAGAACTTATGGTTACATCTAGTTATTCCAACTGTAAAACTAACTGCCAATCTAGCACTGCCCTTAAATTCATAAAATCTAAGTACCATAGAGGAAAGTTCATCAAAACATTTACCATGAAGGTATTTACAGAAAAGGCACAGGGAAGCTACGTTAAGGCAGTGAGAAAATGACTGAAGATGAGATACCAGATCAGCATCAATAACATAGCAGATTCTTCTTTGGATTTCATCAAGAATCTCTAAATATTTAGCAGGAGCACCAGACCAGATGTGGTAGCAATATTCAAAGGATAAAAGGTTGATAAATTCTGGCAAGAAAGATTGTCTAGCTACAACACAGTGAACAACATTTCCTAGCAGGAGACCTAGCAATTGATTTAATATAAACTTTCCACTTCATGTTCATAGTAGCACTAGTTATGAAATATGTCCCCCATAAAGTTGCATCCAGAGCCATTGGTTTTTATGCCCCCATTTACATCCAAAGTAAATCCTTTTTAAATACAAATGCACATACAATCCAAATCAATTTACTTTTAATTGTAGTAATCTAGGTTAGGAGGCATGGTGGAGTAATGGATAACAGCTTGGATTGAGAAATCTGAGAGCTGAGTTCGAATTCCAGTTGAATCCATTACATTCATTTACATGCTTAATAGCCTATTTAAAACTTTTTCTTCTTCCCCCAGCTATAGGTTTAATAGCAGGACAGACCAGGTTCTATAGCCTTAAAAGGCAACTTGTTCTATCTAGAAAGAAATGGCAACCCACTGCCTCCCTTCAGTCAAAAAAAAGATTTATGATCGCCTACAGTGTGTATCACGAATGGCACATTTTTCTGAATTCTAGATGTATCTGGACTACAATAATCACTTGTTGGTAGCAGGAATTGAGCAAGAATGATGTTATCTATTAACCTTTCCTTATACTAAACCACCCCATTATCCGCTGTTAGTATAAAGTTTACCCTTACCACATTAGATGTGAAAATTCTCATCTAGCAGGACAAATATTTTTTACCAGACAACCTCAAATGGAGATTCTTTTGAACCACTGTAGAAAAACATTTTGTATGGTGACTGATTGACATCAACTCAAACCCTATAGTCTACACATGGAACATAAACTTGATGCTGAAAGCTATACTTAACATCTCTTGAAGACAATATCCAACTTGAATACCTTTTTATGGACCTATCCTTGATATCACTACAATCTTCAAAATCTCAAAATGCTCATAGTATTTACACTGCTGGCAAGCAGAACAAGAACTTTTTGTGATCTACTGCTCTGGGTATCCTAAATTAGGAGCAAGATGTGTTGGTCATCCAGCAACCATCTAAATATTAAAACTATATTATGACACAGAATGCCATCCTAATGACCTTAAATGACCTTGATTGCAGATCTGTTGACAATTTCCCAATAGACTCATAAATGTTTGTACTATTCGACTGAATAAATTGGGGATGTAGCCATAACATCCCTGCTCAAACAAGGCAGATATATAGTTTTTTTAGCACTAGAATTAAAGTCTTTGAGTGATTCATCCTTCGAACCTTGATGACTGGTGCCACAGAATCAGTAAGAATATTACCAGATAACAGAAACCACATCATTTGGGGAGTTTCAATAGCAGCGACAAATAAAATGGATAGCATATGTAACTTGAAGAGAAAATAATGACATAATCAAGATGTTGACACTCCACATTACTTCAAACAAAAAGTTAGGAAGGAAACTCCCATCAATACTGGAAAGAGTGATTAAAGTGGATGTGAGAAACCTATTTTACCTGAAAAATTGTTTTCATAGAAATTGTTTTTATAAAGTTCAACTGACAGCAACATTGGCTGCTCTTGCAACGAATGCCAAATGTTTCCTTATAAAGGAAACGGCTAATAATAGTAATGCTAAAATTATCATTATAAGGTTTAAGTGTTCAGTACTTCACAATCACAAGTATGCCACTCTTTTATGTTATAAAAATATCAATGTACTGCACCTATAGCAGAAGAGGTGCATCTTGGGCAAGCTAGCCTGATGGAGCCCAGCCCTCCACCATGTTGGTTTGAATTCAGAGTTTTCCTGGTTTCCCATCAATACTGGAAAGAGATTAAAGTGGCCTTGTGCAATCTGTTCCCACCACCAAAAAAAATTGTTTTCATAGATTTTATGAATTTCAACCAACAGTCAGCGATAGCTTAATGTTTCCTTATAAGGAAATAGTTAACGTTATTATTTTTTTTTTAATCATATTTACTCCATAGAAGACAGTAAAGCCACTAAGACGCAAGGAGTTATTGGGTATGAAAGAATTTTAAAACAAAAACATTATGAAGGAGTATTTATAACAATAGAAGAGTAATTAAAATTTTGATGTTGCATTTTAATTTTTTTTGAATATTAAATTTGGCTAGAAAAGTTTGGATTTGAAGAGAATTTTGAGAAATCCATTTACTTGACCAAATGAAATTGTTATACACAAACCCACAAGAGCTATACAGAAAAATGCTGCTTGACAGGACAGATGCCCATGAGGTTGCCATGTGGTTGGCCCTGATCTGGCATCTCATTTACAGTCACTGTCACACAGACGTACTGTTGCCTCCCTCTGTCTTTTCTACAAATACTTTCATGGTAACTGTTACGATGAGCTATTTTCGCTAGTTCCCAGACTGCATGAATTTAAACATTCCACTAGGTCAGCATCTCAGTCCTACCCTTTCACTGTCGAAACTATTAAAATGTAGCCAACTCTTCTACTCCAATAGCTTCAGGTCTCGCACTTCCTGTCTGTGGAACTCCCTCTTACTTGCTTCCCTGATAGCTATAATCTCTAACTATTCAAATGCAATGTCAATCAACATCTCCAGATGACTTGATCTATTCCCCATCTTTCATTTCATCCTTTCCTCTTTCACGTCTCTGTACTCTTGCAACCACTTTATATAACCCCTTGTGTTCTAGTGGCACTCCCGCCTTGTTTTTTTTTTAAAGTTTAAAAAAAGAAAGAAATAAGAAAAAATGGGTAGGTAAAGATAAATGGTGAGTTTTGTAGAACTAGTGAATGTTGTGACATAATCACAAACAAAGAACTCTATCAATTAACAGAATCAACATCACTTGAATCCCCTATCAATATGGAAAGAGCAATACCAGTTAGTTTCAACAGAAAGATTTTATAAATTTCAACTGAGAGCAGCACTGCCTGCTTGATTAATGAATATCGAATATTTCCTTATAAGGAAACAGTTAATAATGGTAACATTACCATTATATGGTGTAAGTGTTCAATACTTCATAATAACAAGTCCTGTAACCCATTTGAATCATAGGAGTACCACATGTATTGCCACCATACCGGCAATGGCATGTTTTGATAGCCGAACAGATCTCAACCCTGTCCAGGCTTGAATTCTGAGTTATCCTTCTCCTAGACTGGTTGCCAACCAAAGCTAGAGAACCTAGTCTACCTGGCTATTTCCCCTATTGCTGGAGGCAGAAGAGATGGATTCATACATTTCCCAAGGGTAATTTGCATGTAGGTAAATCTAAAACTTGACTGGAATTTAAACTTGCAGATCTGAGTTCAAATTCCACTCAAATCCATTACATTCACTCATGCAAAAATACCATTAGGAAAGGCATGAACCCATCTCTTACATAGTTTCAGACATACTTACATAGTTTCAAACATTTTAATGTAGCATAAAAGCTTCTTGTTCCAATCTTCTTCACTTATGTTTGCGTTGTTTAAGAATCCTCTGCAAAAAAGAAAACATATTTGGTTAAAATGGTGTACAGAATTGTGTAAAAATGAATACAAAAATATTTTCAGACATTAAGTTGTAGGTGGATTTTTTTATCTTCCAAGTTCTTATCGTTCATTACGTTATACTAGTAAAATAGTGAATTCTTCAGAAAGTGTCTTTTATATTGACACTTTCTTATTGGTAAATGTTAAGGGATGTGGCAGGTCTTGATGATCGATACAATATCAGTATTAGTCTTCTTATATATGCTGCATCCCTTCAAAATGGGGGCGGTCATGGCTGTCCACAACTTCCTATTCCTTATGGTTCTTAGCAGCATTTCTCACTTTGTCAAACCTCTCTCCCACTGTTCTGCCATCCACTCACACAATCTCGTCAGGTGACTTCATGACCTCAATATGCCTTGTGTGATATGCCCTCCTTTCTTGTTATGTGCCATAGAAATTTCAGCTGTCTTCTTCTGATACTGGGTATAAGTTTTCTTTTTGTTTCCATTTTCTTTAAGACTTCCTTGTTGCTTATTCAGTCTGTCCAAGGAATTCTCAGTATCCTTCTGTAGAACTACACTTTAGTCTACAAGAATATTTAAAAGAAGTTACACTCTCTAGAGTTGAATCTGAATTGGATATAAATGCCAATAATATAATAAAATTCATTTTTTTCTGATAATTTCTAAAATCAAAAATGTCTAAATTAACACAATAGTTTTTTTTTCAGAACGATGGTTAAAATGGTTTCAAATAAATAAATCCTTTAACATTAAATCTTAAAGAAAGTGAAATTACTACAAAATCACATTGAAACACTGGTTCCCATATGATCACTAAAGTTAAGCAACGTCAAGCCTGGTCAATGGGTGACCGCTTGGGAATACCAGATGCTGTAGGATTGGATGTGAAGTGGATAATAGCTCAGAATTGTAAATCAGAGGCCGAGTTCCAATTCCAGTTGAGTTTGTTATATTCATTTATATGCAGATTTTGGGAAAAGCAAGAATCCTCTTTATCCCCATCTATGGGTTAATTAGTAAGACTTGTATCACTAAATCATTATTAACTCAAAGAAGAAAATTTTCTTACAATCTAAAGATATTTCGTAAGGGTTATTAGTAAGCCATAGAAAATGAATGAATCAATCAATTAAAGTGACCATTTTTCAAACTAAGATATACGGCACTACAGACTCAAACAAAGTCAAAATATTAACCTAAGAACCCATTTTCTCAAGAAGCCTCCTCAGATGTACATGTAATGATTTTATTAGGCCAAAATGGTTTCAAATTCTGTAGGTCTTAAAGAAGACAATCCTTCATCAGATTTTACAGACTGGTGCCACAGAATCATCAAGAACTTTACCAAATGCAACATCATTTGAAGACTTCCAACAGGAGTAACACATAAAATGCATAGCACCTGTAACTTGAAGGGAAAATAATATATAATCAAAATGTTGACTTTCCATACTACATTAAACAAAAGGTTAAGAAGGAAACACACCATCAGTACCAGAAAGTGCAATAACAGTAGACTTGAGAAGTTTGCTTTCTTGAAAAACTGCTTTAAGAAAAAGATTTTATAAATTTCAAGTGGCAGTAACAGTTAATGAATGTCAAGTGTTTCTTATATGAAAACGGATAATCTCATGACTATCATTTAATAGTTAAGTTTTTTTCCAGTATTTGTATGTGATTGCATGATTATTTTTTTTACTAGTTTAAACCCATGAAAAAGTCAGTTTCCTTATTTCTGATGAATTTTAATTCATCCGATAACGATTGAATAAGTTCACAGCGAGTTCTATGACAATAAAACATCCATAGAAATTCCACTATTACATCATTAAATATTTCAGCTTAACTTCAACAAAATATTGCAATAGCAATCATCAATATGAATGCTGGTCAGTATTTTAAGAAGTAAGGGGGTACAAATGAAAAGATTTGAAATTGAGAACTTTTCCATTTCACTGAAACAGACATTAAACACTTTGATCTTCCCCTCTTTCATTCAGTGTCTGGCTGAAACCAAGTAACGTCCAGGGCCGTAGCAAAGACCAATGTTTTTTTTTTTTTTATGAGGGCAAAAAAATTAAGAATTTTGTGTTAAGTTATCAATTGCCACCAACACGGTTACAGGCAAGAACATTTAAAGTTTCCAGTACCTTCTTACTTTGATAGGTTACTAAATTATTAAAATATGTGATCAACTATAAGGAAATCCTTATGATTTATCATTTTATAACATTTGAATCAGTTGGCAATTAGCCAGCGTTTTACCAACGATTCCAATAAACAATGCAATAAATAGTGTAAATAAAAAATATCATAGAAATATATATAAATATATATATAAAGATTGATAAAGAAAAGTTTTCCTTTTGTCATTGTTAATATCATAATTTTACAGAGACTGTTTATATATTATATATATAATGGGAGAAAGAGGCAATGAGATGAATGGACAAAGAGTAAGAGATACAAAGAGAACATGCACAAAAAGAGAGAAACACACATGAGAGAGACATACACACGGACAGAGAGAGAAAGACACGGGCAGAGACAAAGAGAGAGTGACACAGACACATGTAGGCAGAGAGATAAGGAGAGGGACACACAGATGCAGAGACAAAGGGAGAGAGACACACAAACAAAATGACACATGCACACACATATAGGCAGAGAGAGAGAGAGAGACAGAACACACACACACACACACACACACACACACACACACAGAGGTAGAGACAAAGAGAATGACACACACACAGAGACAATGACACACACATACACACAGGTAGCGAGATAAGGAAAGTGACACACAGAGGTAGAGACAAAGGGAGAGAGACATAGACAAACAAAATGACACACACATAGGCAGGGAGAGAGAGAGAGACAGATACACACACACACAGAGGTAGAGACAAAGAGAATCACACACACACACAAAGAGAGAGAGAGAGAGAGAGAGATACACACACACACACAGAGGTAGAGACAAAGAGAATCACACACACACACAAAGAGAGAGAGAGACACACACACACACACAAAGATAATGACACACACATACACACAGAAAGACACACACAAAGACAGATAGAGAGAAAATACACATACAGAGAGAGAGAGAGAAGAGCGGCAAATTAAAAAAGACAAAGACACACACAGAGACACAAACACACAGACAGGTAGGTACACAAAGACAGACACACGCAGACAGACACACACACACACAGACAAAGATACACACAAAGAGAGAAACACACAGACAGATACAAAGACAGTGAGAGAGACACAGACAGGCAGATACAGAGAGAGAGAGAGACACACACACACACAGAGACAAAGAGAGAGAGAGAGAGAGAGATTCATGCACATCTTTACACAAACGAAGTGAGATGGAGAGACTGAGAGGAAATGCATTTAATTTTTCTTTATATAACTCATCTTAAACACATATGTACATTGTTTTTCTTTATATCATATACAAACTTCTTTTTTAATAGCAAATCAGTCGAACAGCTGAATATTTAGACCCTTTTTTAAGGAGTCAAAGGGTTCTTACATACATGCATACATAAATAAATAAATGAGTTTAAATCAATTCCTCCTTAGACATGAGAAATCTTTCTAAACATAGTAGGAAGCTAATTTTGATATCACAAGTCACGGAGCCTCTTTATGAGTCAGAAAGAGGTTGACTGAACCTGATAAATTGCTTCAAGTGGGAGTTAAGTTCCATTCAGCATTTGGAGGTGGTAAAACCAGTAAAACTTAGCCTGAGATGAAGTAAATTAATATATTTTAACACTGACAATTCCCTGAACTACTCCCCCACACCTGTCTAGCCAGATAGCATGAAGGTAGAAGTTTGTGACTAAACTGGTTATTCATCCTTACTCCACCAAGTGTCAATGTGTACATATATGGAATGTTACTAAGAGAGCAATCTACTGGAATCACAGGGTTGGGAGAAAATGGATTTTTGTGGTGCTAGCTTTCAAATGAGGAGAGCTGGCTTTAGTAAAAATAAAAAAAAAAAACCCAAAAAACAAGCATTTTAATTCCGGAGTTATTTTTTATGGTTTTCAATGCAATCTCTCTCTATATAAAATTCTGTGACTTCCATTAGTCCGTCCATCTGTTCTAAAATAGCCATAAAATGACTGATCAAAACCAAATTTTGGGGAGAGGTGCAAACAGGTAAGTGGGTACAAAGTACAGTTGGTTTTACTAGGGTGTGTAGCTTAGTACAATAAATTTTCATTAACTTTTTTGAAAAGATTAAGTTTTATTATTTAGGAGCCATACAAATATTCCCAATATTTTAAAAAATCAATTTTTGATTAAAGTAATAAAACTTTATATAATAAAAATGCGATATTATTTCTTGCATATCTTTTCTATAGTTTATATATATATATATATATATATATATATATATATATATATATACACAAGAATCCAGTTCCAGAAAAACAAAACAAATCACAAGGCCAAATGTTTCAAAAAGTTGGAATTTGGCCCCAGAAAGAAATATTTATGCATGGCCAGTTGTATGTTGCATGCTCAAGAGTAAGAAATCCTAAGATTTTATTTTTCGCTGTTAAAAAGGAAAAAAAGAAATTTTCTTAAAAAATATTGTTTACCATGAAGTCCTATATAGGTCTGTGTTTCAATTAAAATATACACGTGTACACGCAAATGTATACACATACACACACAATTTGAATGAAATTGAAATGGACATCTGTGTTGCAAGGGTCAGTTTTTCTTTCTGTCTGCCAACAAACCTTGAGTTATAGGAAAAGAGAATAAAGTGAAATGTACAGCCAGTCATTCTTTGGACTCATTTAAACTAAAAATACCAACAACATAGTGAAATGGTTATACCAACAATGTCTTATGAACAATTACGACTAAACAGTGAATTCAATCCGCACTGGGTGCCTATATTTTTGGCCTTATGCCACATCTAAGCTATGCTTAGAAAAATTATAGCAGCTCTTCTTCCAGATTTTTCTGGAAGGATTGGCAGAGCAGGAGAAGCGGTTTTTCCCATCAGAGTAGATGCTGCAGTTGTAGTATCTGTTCTGTGTTGGAGGCCTTCACTCCTCCCTTGTATTTCCCGTGTTGCATGGCATCTGTTATGTACTGGTGGTATGACTGGCATATATCAAAGCTTCACAAACTTTCTGTCCAGTGGCCTGAGTGGAAACACTTGGATCTCCATGCTTAAAACTGATTGTGTCACAACCTGGCTCAGTGGGAAGTCAAGATAAATTTCAGACTCATTTAAACTGAATATATTTTCTTATAAATGTAGTATTTCAAATGGGCAAACAGCTTAGATTTGAAATTAAAATCATCTTACCATCAGCAAAACAACAGTTACTTAACTAGCTTATATATTATAAGGAAGAATTTGTTCAACATCAGTCAGTCATGTGCCGTGCGTGATACACGCTTAGGCGATCATATATCTTTTGTTACATAACTGACAAAGCAGATTTTTCCTGCAGTAGGTTACCATTTCTTTTATTGCGGTAGACAGTGGCCATCCAAGGCTACAGAACCTTCGGACCACCTGCTATTTACCCATAGCTTGGGGAGAAGAAGAATTTCATACCTTTCCCAAGGGTATTAGCACACACAGTGGAGGTAATGGATTTCTGAAGAATTAAATTTAGTTTAACTGATTTTTCAATCTGAGCTGCCATCCATTTTTCCACCGTGCCACCTCTTTTGTTCAACATACATGGTCAAAAACTTTCATGCCTACCATGGTCATGAGCTCTGTAACCCATGAAGGGTGTAGAGACACCACACCTACAGAAGTAGTGATGTTTTCTGACCAAGACAGCCTGATGGAGCTTAACTCTCTACAGGCTGGAGTAATGGATAGCGGCTCAGATTAAGGAATCCAAGAGCCAAGTTCATTACATTCACTTATGTATTAATATCCTTGGGAAAGATATGAATGCATCTCTTCCCCAGCCATGGGTAAATAGCTGGATAGATTGGGCCCTGTAGCCTTGGTTGGCAACCAGTCTAAAAGAAGGAAAAATTTCATGTACAGCACTTAAATTTTGTATTCATACTTATTGGAACCCAGATTAAAGTTTTACCATAACTAATTTTCATCAGTCAAGAAGGGTTCTGCTATATGGAATTATCTTTTATGGTAACAGTTACCATTTGTAACCATTGTAAGAATATATATATATATATATGTATGTACATGCGTATATATATATGTACATGTTCATTTACATAAAATATATATATATATATATATGCGTCTAGATTGAAACAGCCTGTCAAGCTCAATTTCAAAATATATTTACACATGCTCTGATATTGGGCATTTTTATATCCCGAATAAATATAGTCTTCATCTTAAGAGTCTATATATATATATATATCACACACGCGCACGAGAAACTGATTGACATGAAAAATCCTTTGACTAGAGTGTGTCTGGTATAGATAAGAGTTGGAACTTTGTCCTCAAGGATACATGGTACAATGGATAAAGGTGTTAGTTAGATCCAGTGACAGTTATCTCCTGTTAATTCCCCTCTCCAAGTTCTCAACTGCCTTAACCGGGTATTGAACTCACACTCTTTGGGTCCTGTCACTAGATCTAACCAACGCTTTTATCAACTGTGCCATGTGTCATCTGGGTATGAATTTCTGGGTATTATAAACCTAATGTCTTCAGAAACCATTTTTACCAGTGCTCATATTGCAATTTTGCTGTTATCATTGCACTTTTTTTTTTAATCTGAATAATGTAAATAATGAAAACATAATATGTTGAAAATATTGTTTTCTTGCATATGCAATGTTATGTCAAATTGTTTAAAAAAAAATGGTTAAGAATATGATAGTTGTTACAATACAATCTTTATTTTAATGATATTAAAATCAATCAATGCTCCTAATATCATCCTATTGTGATTACAAGTGTGTGTGTTTAAACAAGAAGTAACAAATGGATAGTTATTGAAGTTTGACAAAGGCCTTTGTGATTCACAGCAAAGGGGAGAGTCACATAGTTAAAGAGAAAGTGCACAGATTTTTAAAGAATGGACTGAAAGACACACAAACACACAAAAACAGTACAAGGAAAAAGAGAGAGAGACAGAGAGAATGAGTGACCTGTGACCTTTAATATTCAGAGAAGCTCCAAAAAGAAACCACAGATGTCAGACACCTGTCACACAAAAGCGACAAGAAGTCAATTGTAACAGGCCAGAAGTTGCAAAAGTGAAGGGAATTAGACAAGAGAAGGTGGGGGAGACAAACGTACAGAAAGACAAAGAAATGTCACTATAGTTAAAAAAGTAAAAGATGGAGTAGGAGAGACTTGATAATATTTACACACACTAACTCGTTTATCAAGAAAAATCTAGACACAGACATACTTGTCAACATAGATAAAAAAAGGAGTCAATTTTGAAATCAACATTTTTTTTTTTTTAATCTTTGCATTTTATTTTTAGTATTGTTTTCTCAATATCTGACAGCGCCTTTTCTTTCTTTCGTTTCCTTCTTGGCCTGAGGTACTCTGCCTTAGCAGCCAGAAAGTTGGTTGTTAAAATAAGTGAAAGTCCAAAAGGTAATTCAATACATCTGGCCTATCAGATTAGTTTTTGTGTTTTCTATTAATAAGTAAGATGTCCAACTGCTTAAAATGAAAATACTGATGGAGCATTGAAAACCCCATAGTCATGCCCTCAGTCATGTAAACTCTAGACCCACAAAAACCCAATTAAATCAGTTTGCTATTTTTGAACAATAAGAATCCATATGTAATATATTATCCTCCAAGAATTTTATATGGTCAGTACAAAATAGTAGTTCAGTTTTATAAGGTCAATATAAAATAATTCAATTAGAATTCCAGAGTGGAACAGAACTGTGAATAAAAAGGTAAAATTGATGGCTAATATTTTAAAAGGTTGATTCTTAAAAGAATGTGTCTTGCATCAGTTAATGATGGACACTTCTTTCAGCATAAAAATGCAAGACAAACTCACATTTTGTAGAGTGGCTGGCAACCTTAAAAATGAACATTATATTTTAGTGGGTGTTTGAGCAGCCATCCCTGTTTTATTGACCTTGAAATCAAGAGAAAATGTGACTTTTGATGGGAATGTAACCTGTAATCTCTATTTTCATCAAGAAAACCACTTTTAAGCCAAGCATACCTTACCATTAGGCTACAGGAAGGCATTGTGAGTCTCAGACTATTTAAAAAAAATTCACATCTCCTTTTGGGATCTTTCAAGTTTACAGGTATTTATCCATTTGCCCACGTTGCATGGGACACAAGGTCAAAGTTTAATGTGAGTTTTTTCAGCAGTACTGTAGAAAAATTGCTGAAGCCCTCCTTGGCACATCCTTTTTGGGGACGTCTCAGGTGCTGAGTAATGACCCCAGCCAGTTCCTGAAGGAGAGTTACTGCCTAAAAGAATGACCCCCTGAGGCTCAAGCTTTATCTTTTGTACTCAAAACAAAAGTATTTTTTAAGCAAATAATCGGGTATTATTTCTTATTAATATGATCTTTATATTTAGTGAGTACATGTGTTTAAGTAGGCATCCTTGTTTTATTATAATATTAAATTAATATCAAAATGCTGAAATTAATGATTACCATCATAGACATTTTTTTAACCAGCAAATTGTTATAAAATGGAGTGCTAGAATCTACTCAAACCAACCAACTTTCCTAAATCTGACCAAATATTATAATTTTTATTTATTAGTAAAGTTTTCTGGTCGGGTTGAGGAGTTTTTAGAACCCTGTCATATTAGGGGAAAAAAGTGCTATGTATGACTTACTTTTTCTTTTCTTCATAACATGAATAAATCGAAGCAAGACAGACTGCCACCAAGTTAGGCAGAACCCGTGGATGGGGGCAGGTACTTGACTGTCCGTGCATGCTGAAAAGAAAACAAAAAAAAAATTATCTCACAATGACTAATCATAGCATTACTAAACAAAGCATTACAATTTAGAATTGGTAGATAGAATATCTTCCAGGAAATTTCCTTTTCTTGGAGCAGTCAATAAGATCTTGCTGCTCTATTGGCAATGCCAATATATGACGAGCACAGGTGATTGGTTCATCTTATGACATGTCACTCCTTGTTGGGTTATTTAATATTGAAGGACCAAAATTGTAACTCAGTAGTAATGGTCAATCAGGCCAGTTTTGTTAACCATTACCCCACTCTGAGGTGGCAAACAGCTGATGAGATATGCCAGCCAGACCTCAAACATTGACAGATCATGTAATAACTTAGTATAATTAAAAAAAACAAAAAAAAAAAAACAACAAAAGAGACAAACGAAACAGGAGACAGGCACACGCGCAAGAAACGAAACAGGAGACAGGCACACGCGCAAGAAACGAAACAGGAGACAGGCACACGCGCAAAAAAACGAAACAGGAGACAGGCACACGCGCAAGAAACGAAACAGGAGACAGGCACACGCGCAAGAAACGAAACAGGAGACAGGCACACGCGCAAGAAACGAAACAGGAGACAGGCACACGCGCAAGAAACAGGAAACAGGAGAAACGAAACAGGAGACAGGCACGCGCAAGGAAGAAAACGAAACAGGAGACAGGCACACGCGCAAGAAACGAAACAGGAGACAGGCACACGCGCAAGAAACGAAACAGGAGACAGGCACACGCGCAAGAAACGAAACAGGAGACAGGCACACGCAAGAAACGAAACAGGAGACAGGCACACGCGCAAGAAACGAAACAGGAGACAGGTACACGCAAGAAACGAAACAGGAGACAGGCACACGCGCAAGAAACGAAACAGGAGACAGGCACACGCGCAAGAAACGAAACAGGAGACAGGCACACGCGCAAGAAACGAAACAGGAGACAGGCACACGCGCAAGAAACGAAACAGGAGACAGGCACACGCGCAAGAAATGAAACGAATTAAAGGAACAAACAGAGACAGGCACACAAGAAATGAAACAGAAAAACAAAAAAATACAAAAAACAAACAAAAGAAAAGCAAAACTGCAAATCAACAACAAAAGACAATAAAAAAATTTCACAGACTTGATATCTATGGGGAATTAAACTGCAGGAAGTAAACAACATTAATGCAATTTTAAAAAATGGCACTCATCAAGAAATTAAGGAATTTCTATCCGCTTGTCGAAATGAAAAATTATGATTAATTATTCATTCTTTTCATCTTGATTATAGGCACACAAAATGATGATCATATACCTTTTGGATTTTTCCTGTCTTGTTCTCATTTAGCTGCCAATGTTTGGAAGATAACTTGGATTAGTTGAGTCTTTTATCCATCTCTCTTCCTCATTTGGACTGAACACATGCATGCTAATTTTACTGCACCTTTGTACAAAATTTAGCATTGTCCCAAATATCTAATGGGTTTAAGAAATTTGTTCTTAAATTGCCTGTAACATTTGAATATTGGGTGGCATTGTCCAAATCACAGAGATCCTGAGATATACACGGATTTATTTGAAATGATTTTCTCATCTTCCTTGCTGTAGATACACTTTGGCTGTCTACACTTCAATCTTCAGCAGTGGCGCTATACATTAAAACTACCTCTACAGTGGCTCGAAAGAATCTCTGAGGTTGTCTGGCAAATCATCTTTCCAGATTTCATCCATTTTATTCAAGGCAGCCCAGGCTTTAGCTATGTGAATTTTCACATCTTATGCAGTAAGTGTAAAGTTTGTACTAAATAGGGAATAATCAAACTTATACTAAGTTACAACTTAATAAGATAAGATTGTTCTTGCTCGATTCCTACTACTGACATGTGGTAAGCTATAGTCCAGTGCATCTAGATTACTACAATTAAAAGTTAACTGGTTTGGATGCTATGGACAATTATATTTAAAAAGGATTGACTTTGGATGTAAATAGGGGTATTAATGGCTCTGGATGTAAATCTGCTGCGGGATATTAGAACATGATTATATTGTTATTATGAAGGCTGGAAAGTGAAAATTGAGTAGCACCATTTCAAATATGACAGCAAAATTCCATTTTTGGCCTGATCTGACTTAACTGCTGGCTATAGTAGGCATGCAAACTTGAAAGTCAATAGCTAGTTTTATCAAAAACAAAAAATAATCACTCACTTTCTTACAAAGGCTTGAACCACCTTAAAGCCATCATTTTGAGAGTTTAAGGCTAGAATATATTCCTGGACAAATCTGCGCATATTTGGTAACTTGCCAAAGTCCTGAAATTAAATTTTAAAAACGTTAATGTATCACTGGGTCTTAAATTGCAAAATTAGATAGGGTTACAAAAAGGTCATAACCTATGTTCTTGTGTTGTAAATTGATGAACTTTCATTTAAAAGTAATGAAAAAGACAATTTGTTTTAGTTCTTGAAAAAGGTCACCACCCACCCAAACAGAAAATTTGATTTTACCATATATGCAATAAGGATAAAAAAATAAAAATACTTCAGAAGTTTTTATTTTTCAATTTGCTAATGATATAATTGGACAGTGCATATGTATTTTTAATGTAATTAACAATTTATAGCTATAGCATAAACATAGAGACTTACAAATAAACAAAAACAAGTTCTAGAAGGTTCCGGAAAGTTATAGTACCAATATACTTATATATGATTTTAGAAATTTTGTGTTGTGTTGACATTTTTTTTTTTTAAATAAACTAAAATGCTTCTTTATTATTTTTGAACCAAAGTTGCTTGAATTATGATATAGGAAATCAATTATTTTACAAAAAGTAAAAAAAAAGTCATATAGAAAAGATGGAGAACAGCTTTTTGTGCATTTTGCTGAAGTTCTACTGGCACTGAATTAGTCACTTTATTTTAGATGGAAACTTTATTTTAGATGGAAACTTGAAAAGGAATTTGCCAAAATTAAATATTAAAATTCAAGTACTTTTGACCACTTTTGGTAATTTTTTTCAGGAAAGAGTGCAAACAGTAAATGAAGCAACTAATTCAAGCCCAAGAGAAACTCACATTCTGTGTCTGTTTAATAAAAAAAGTTTGAAGTTTAAATTAAGGGATGCTGTCTAAATATATATATATATATATATATATATATATATATATATATATATATATATATGTGTGTGTGTGTGTATATGTGTAGGTATACAAGCCTCTGATATATATATATATATATATATATATATATATATATATATACACACACACACACGTGTGTAGACATGTCTATAACAAGCAAATAAAATTATCAAAGAATTAAGTAAGACAAGCAATCATTCTGATATAAACAAAAATAAATACACCGTTAACTTATCCTATCATCACCAAATGCACACTTACTATGAACAAAATGAAAAAGCCATTAAAAATATAATTTTCTTATAATCAATAAACAGCATCAAAAAGGTATATATTGGTCATACAGACACCAAAATTTCTTACAGGCCGTCTTGTCACTTGTTGAAATTTAGTGCAATTCATGGATCACATCACAAACATCCAAAATGCGACTATTAACAAAGTCAAATTATAGTAGATATACCAAAATACTATACAGTACTAAGGAAGACTCAAACTTATAGAAACTTATTGTATTAGAGAAAGAATTTATTCTAAATAAAAAATACTTTCCATCCCAGAAAATGTCTTAAATTGTTTATAAAATATTTAATATGCATACAAAACAAATATTTGATACATCCTTTTACAGTGTGATCTAGCTTTGGGTAACCATTTTATACATGATATCAATTATGATCTAGACATATTTGAATTAATTTAGATTCTAGCATTACAAAAAATACCAAGGGTGTAGCCAACAAAATCTTTTCTCCAATATTGATGTCATTTTCAGTATAATGACAGAAACTCTCAAAAGTAATTGAGCAGAAACAAACAAACAAAAAAAAACATGAATTTTGGACAGTTTATCTGCAATTTTGATTCCCACATGCAAAATCTTGTTTTAATCTTGTATTAAAATTGAAAAAATAAAATTAAAAAAAATGAAACTAACAGATCTCATCAACTGCAATTAACAAAATTTGGATGGATTAATTCTTAATGCCTAATTTAGTATGGACATCATTTAGAATTAATACTTTGTAGAGAGTCCACTCCTCACAGTTTTTGTAGCCTTTCACCAGACTAAAGTAATTCTAACAAATAACTATAATGAAGACATGCTGAATCACACAGATTTTCTCTTTAGCCAACCAACGTCTGCCTATAGTATAAGGCTGACTAATACCTGCCTATAGACTCAAGTATAAGGCTGACTAATACCTGCCTATAGACTCAAGTATAAGGCTGACTAATACCTGCCTATAGACTCAAGTATAAGGCTGACTAATACCTGCCTATAGACTCAAGTATAAGGCTGACTAATACCTGCCTATAGACTCAAGTATAAGGCTGACTAATACCTGCCTATAGATTCAAGTCTAAAGCCAACCAATGTACAAACCTCTTTCTTAAGACTGTGCAATATGAAGAAATCAATAAAATTGGACTTACTGTATTGTGTTTCAAAATTCTTTGAGCTACTGGGGTGAAAAGATCAATAACAATGCTTGACCGAGGACTTTTTTTGCAATGCTGCAAGAAAGAAAGAAAAACATGTGAAAGAAAAAATACAGCTTATCCTTCCACCACCTCCCCACCTCTTTAAACACAAGGTATTCCCAATTTAAACAAAATTGCATAAAAAATTACTGTTATTTGCATATAGATTTGCAATTATTCATTTAGCTTAGTTAGTAAAATTTATTGGGCTGAAAAAAAAAAAAAAAAAAAAAAAAAAAATTTACTTTTTTAAAAGTATTTTACCAATTAAAACTGTTTGGAAAAATCTAGCTTAAGCCATCAAGAATATTTCAATCCTTTCACAGCTGGCTATGATCTTTGACGTCAAGGCAGAGATCAAAGGTCACTTTTTTTTTTTTTTTTGAGGGATTTCAGATTTGGTGTTGTAATGGTGAGCAAGAAATAGGCAAATTCAGTACAAATTTTCAGTAGACTTTGTTATATTCACTTTTTTGCAAATACCTTTGGGAAAGGTATAAATCCATGCTTTCTCACCACAACTATGGGATAAATAGTCAAGAAGATTTGGGATGTGTGCTGTAATGTCTAAAAACTCCGAGTGAGAAATCCGAGAACTGAGATCAAATTCTGGTTGGGTTCATTACAGTCACTTACATGTAAATACTCTTGGGAATAGTAGGAATCCATCACCCTTCAACTATAGGCTGAATAGCTGGATAGATTGGATCCTTTAATCTTGTTTGGCAACCAGCCTATTGCAGAAAGAAATGGCAACCGACTATAAGAAAATCATTTGTCTAGTCAGTTATGAATCGAAAGAGACATGATCACCCATGCATGTACCACACATGGCACTTAACAGACTGAGTCAGGAACCCTAGACTCTTCAGCCTTGGTTAGTAACCAGTCTAGGAGAAAGAGAACTCTAAATTCAAAGCTGCTTAGGCATAGGGCTAGCAACTAGATCCCATAAGAAATTATTTGTTACAGACATCACAGCAGCAATGTCTAACCTGTTGAAAGCTGTAGCCTAATACTCCATAGTAGAGACTTCAGAAATTGTGAGGAAGTTTGGAAAAAAACCCTTTAGGCAGTTAATGGCTACCATTTAGTATCAATAGACATAAATTGGAGCATTAATTGTATTGAATTCAATTTTGTTTGAGTCTTTTTTTTCCTCCCCCTTTGAATACAGTTGGTTGATTTTGTTCAGTAGTATATTAACCTGTATGGATTATTCAATGTCGATATCTAAATATTTCGAACACAATTTTATGGCTTTAACTAAACATTTTAAACACAATTGTATGCTTTCGATTACAGATAAAATGTATTGTTGGTAATTTTACTATAAATGTATTGTTGGTAATAATTTTTATATAAAAAGGTTTTGCTGGTATTTTTACTATAAAAATGTATTTTTATACTTTCATGTTTTGTTTTTATTTGGGGGTCCACATTTTGCCCATAGCTTGGACCCTAACAGGTGTTACTATCCTAGGTTTGGGTGGCCATAGGAACAACAGCAATTAATAGATGATTCCATGTTCCTCAAAACCTCCAATAAGAGGCCTAGTTTATCGTTATATCTAGGATATCTTTGAATACAGGGCAAGTTTCTGCATAGTTAATGGAAATAACACAATATTCTAATTATACAAAATTTATTTTATAAGGAATTATATAGACACCTATATATTCCAAAATCATTAACCATCACCACTTAATAGTGCAGGATGTGTAGGGTTGCTTAAGAGATACACATGTGGAAAGGGAGATCAGCATGCCAAATTCAAATGCTGGCCTTTCACACTACTGCCCTTGGGGAAGGCATGAATCCATTTCTTCTCTTGCCCATGTACAGATTAAATTGCAACAGAGTGGCAACCAGTCTAAGAGAAGAAAAAATATGAATTTCACACTGTAGAGAAGAAGAAGGCAATGGAAAACCAATCTATTTTTCCTAAGGTGGCATGTAATCAAGAAATAAGTGCCCTTGGGAAAGGCATGAATCCATCATGTCACCCCACATGTATGGGTTAAGTAGCAGGATAGACTGGGCTGATTAGCAGTGGGTGACAGCCAAAAGAGAAGGAAAACTTTTAATTCCAAACTTATGAAGGAAGTGACAAGGAGTGACTCCATTCTGTTTTCTAAATAATCCAAGGTAATTCATAGATAATAAAGAAAAGGAAGCTGTGAAGTGTCATGATTCTCTACATCCGAAGAGACATAACATTTAAAAAAAAAAAAAAAAAAAAAATAGTACAGTATCACTCATAAATTCATAATTTCAATATGATAGAGTTTTATAATAATAATAATGATGATGATAATAATAATGGACTGAATAATATCCATTTGGATTGTGTAATAATTCTATTAGAATAAACTTGTGGTGCATTTGGTTGAAAAGAAAACTCCTGGCTAGTGTGTTGTGTTCCCTTTTGTATCCATCTCGTCTCCTTCCATATCTATGAATTAAATAGTAGGGTAGACTTTACTCTACTGTCTTGGTGTCAACTAGTCTAAGCGAGGACAAAATCTGAATTCCAAACTGTGGAGAAAGCACCAAGTTTCTCAAGACTGCATGACAATGCAGCTAATTAAGAGAGGAAAGAAGGAAACAAACAGAAAAAGAGAAAAAAGAAAAAGGGGAAAAAAGAAAAATAGAGAAAAAAGAAAAAGGGTGAAAAAGAAAAAGAGAAAAAAAAAGAAAAAAGAAAAAAAGAAATAAAAAGAAAAAGAAAGAAATCTGTGAAAGACATGGCACTGCTCATGTCTAGAAGCATTGGCATTTAAAAAAAAATTAATAGCAGCAAAAACTAACTTACTTTTATTAGGAATTCACAGATTTCTTGTGTTGGATGGTTGTTCTCCAATAATGGCGTCAAGGCAATGATGATATTTTCATGAGCAGATTTGGATGTTAATTCAGAATTCTGAAAAAAATTTCCATTTTAATTCTTAACCAACATGTTCACCAAGAGTATATTGGATGCACAAACACACACATTGAAGAAGTCAGATGTCTAGCCACACTGAATAACTGTGATACAGTGAAACAGTCTGTGGATGGCAATATATATATTTTGATATAATTTTGTATATATATATATATATATATATATATATATATATAAAAAAAAAAAAATCTGAATAAAAAAAATTAAAAATTCTAAATATTAACAACAATTTAACACAAAAGACGATGGACATAAGAGCCCAACTAATTCAGACAGATAACTTATGTCCATCGTCTTTTGTGTTAAATTGTTATAAGTTTTAATGTTAATTATGTTTAAATGAAAATGTCCATGAAGATGGTCTTAAATAGACCAAACGTCCGACGACTTTATTTTTTTAACATTAATAATGCATATTCAGAATTTTGTTTTTTCTGTATTTTTCTTTCATACTGTCGGATTTATATCCATATATTTGCTTATATATATATATATATATATATATATATATATATATATATATATCACCAAAGGGACAAAGTTATGGAGAAAAAAAAAAAAAAAAAAAAAAAGATTACAAATGAATTTGGCTAGATTGAAAAAAAAATTCTTTCAAAAAATTGTGAAATTACCTGTATCTCTCATTTTGTGCACATGTGTAGAAATGGTAATGTCAACAAAGTCCAGCTTATTGTAATCCTAATGGATGAAACATGTCACCAAAACTTTTGCAGTTTGTCATATATATAAGAAATTTGACAAATGGAAAAACGTTTCATTCAAACTAGATTTGATTACAGATTTTCCTTTCTAGGCTTCATCAGATCCAAATAAGAAAATGTGCATTTGTGTGTGTGTGCTTTTAAACTTGTCAAATTTCTTATATATATATATATATATATATATATATATATATATATATATATAAAAAAAATGAAATTTGACAAGTTAAAAGCACATGATGAAGAGCCTTGAAAGGCAAAAATCTGTTATCAAATTTAGTTTGAATGAAACGTTTTTCCATTTGTCCAATTTATTTATATATATATATATATATATATATATATATATATATATGTATATGTGTGTGTGTAAAATTTGCATCTCCTATTGTAAGAGAAACCAGAGTATGATCTGGTGTGTTTTAGCCTGCTCAGCTACCAACAGCATCCCAGCCCAGTATGGCTCAATTAATGAGACCCTATAACTGCACCATGTCATGAAGTTTGCAATAAGTAATAGAAAAGTTTTACTTACTGCTGATTGTAATAGTTCAGAAACTAGTTCAAGTGGAAACTGGTAGACACTTGTGTCATGTATTGGTGTGTTGAGGGAAACATCAATCATATTCTGCAAGAGAAAGAAAATTAAGAATAAACAATTGTTGGAGACATTTTCAACTCTTGAAAAGTTCAAAAGGCATTAAATAACAGAAGAAGTTGAAATAAATTGTTTAAATATTCAACTTGAATATACATGATCTGATTCAAGATCAAAATAAGTTCTTTCAAGCAGTCAGCAGTTGTAGGGCAATGCAATCTGGGTGTGATTAAGACCTTTTCAGACACCTAAATTAATAAAATTATTGAGCCCTTTAATATGCCCACACCTGACTTGAATATTTTTTCATTTGTAATATATGTTAGTGTCATATAGGATATGGAATTGTCCATTTATAGAGTTAAGCAGAGTTAGCATTAAGTCAATTGCTAAATGTACCTTCAAGTAGTAAACCTTCTATCTCATTACTTACCTACGAGTTTGTCATTCTTATTTATTTCACTCTGTTATCTCAACAAGATACAGCAGTTAGTGACATTTAAATAGCTTGAAGTAAACTCATTGCACATTTTTTGAATAAACTAGAATAGCTGTCTTTTGTTTGTCAATAAAAATATTTTTTAAGAAATGACACTATTTTACTATTTATTACAAACAGAAATAGCATATAACTGGAATAAAAAAAAACAAACAGATATTTATAACTAATATTATAACAATAAAAATATATCAGTTTGTCATATTGATACCATTTCAGTTTATCAAACTATTTAGAAGTTACATCTAGAAAATTAAAATCATTGCTTTATAAAAATTGGAGGTGGGGCTAGGCAGCAGCCTAGAATAGCCTAAAGGATAATCCAGCCTTGCTTACAAGTATGTTTTCTAAAGTAGATAAATATATAGAATTTACCATGGTTAAAGAGTGAGTGATCTATTTATGACTGTTGTAAAACAAAAGTGATCCCTCATTTAATATTCAGTTATTTGTTAATCAAATACTGATGGTCATTTATTTCAACACAACCAGAGTAAAAAAAAAACAAAAAAAAATCCAAAAAAAAAACAAAAAAGATTTTTTATAACCAGCATTATAATGATAAAAATAAATATGAATTTGTCATAGATATCATTTCAGTTTATGAAACTATTTAGAAGTTATAACATTGAGAAAATTAAAATCATTGCTTTATAAAAGCTTGAGGGGCCCTAAGCTACATTCTAAAGGATAATTAAGCTCTGAATAAAATATAAATTTTTTGCAATGGTAGCTGCTGCAAGTATTGTGTTATATTAGTAGATTTCATGACATATCTATCAACTCATCTTGAGTTAGTTAATGTTAAAATTATACTGAGTCTGCAGGCAAAGAGTCGGTAAGCAGTGGATTGACTTTGTACCTGAGCCTACAGGTAAATATCAATCAGGTTTATACCAGAATATCTAGGAAAGCATTAGTGTCTCATAGGAAAAGTTATTCCTTTGACAGCACTATTAGTTCTGTATTATTGCTTTACTGTATACACTTTACTTCCTTGGAAATGTATATTGTTTTAAAAAGTGATGATTTGAATTTTAATATAACCAAAACATATGAAAGTGAATTTAAATTTTTTCTCTCTTCTTGAAAATGGACAACAAAGATATTAAACATTATTTTTTTTATTACATTGCTTATTTACAAGAATAAATTGATTTACACTATTCCCTGTTGTCCTCATATTTGTTGCCATATTGTGCATATGACAACAGTCCAAACAATGTAAATAGCGTAAATAATTACAATACCTCATCTTAAAAATATAGACAAATAAATCTATATTTACAAGATTATAAAAATCTGTGAACCAGCTAATGCAATATTTATTATTTACCATCTTATAATGAAAACAAATTTTTTTGTTTATATTTCTGAGATGAGGTATTATGTACATTATTTACATTATTTGGACTATTGTCCTCATCTTTGTCGCCATATTTATTACAACGTTTCGGCCGTTGTACGTTCCGGCCTTCTTCAGGTGGTTGGAATGTTGAACTGAACCCTTTATTTCACTTACTGGGGTAGACTGTTCTAGTTCCACATGCCATGTTTAACGGATGTCAGTTATCAGTTATCTTTTGTTAATTTCCTTCTGAAAGTTCTCCACTGCCTTAGCCGGGTATTGAACTCACACTACTTGGGTCCTCAAGGACACATGGCACAGTGGATAAAGGGATTAGTTAGATCCAGTGACAGGACCGAAACAGTGCGAGTTCAATGTATCATGCATGGCACATAACTGACTGATAAAATAATAAATAATATATCATGCATTGTGCAAATATTTTGATAATGTTGTAAATAAACATTGCTGAGAGTCAAAAATCTATGCAATAATAGTGGTGTCAAGGGAATAACTGTACTTTTGACATACTGTTTTTTTTTTTGTAGGCACAAAGGTTAAATATTCTCTTTTTATTTATCACAGAGGGTAAAGTAATATAATCATTTGATAATAGATAATCACAAAACCAGTATTCATCTTCTTTCTTAAGTCCTCACTGATAGATTTTTTTCTTTTTAATAAGTGTTCACTTAATATTAGGACCAAGAGAACTCAACCTGAAAGATTACTGGCTGAAGTTGCTGTATGGATGGAAGAGGAAGAACTAAGAGCAGATCATAAGGATATGTAGGATAGATAATCCTAGATCTGATGGGGGTCAAGATTAAAGTTAGTGATTAGATTGGTTTCGATCGTTTTGCAGCATTGGGTCCTTTAATGCCAAAATTTGTTTGTTTAACAGCATATCAACTCTTTATGGGTCATTTAATGATGGAATTTAGTTTTCTTAGGAGCTTTGATTTGATTTGTTTGTTTACTAACACATCAATTCCTTCATGGGTCATTTAATGTCAAAATTTAATTTTCTTGGGAGCATTAGTAATTTCTTTTACAAAAAAGGTATTGCTGGTAATTTTTTTTTTTTTTTACTATGAAAATTTATTGCTGGTACTTTTACTATAAAAATGTAGTTTTATACTTTCATAGTGTTTTTTTTAGCCCAGTTTGATGGTTAACTATATGCCCATAGCTGGGACACTAACAGGTGCTGCCATCCTGCATCGTGGTGGACCTGGAGACAACAGCAAATAAGAGGTGGTTCCTCAAAACTTCTCGATCAGAGGCCTTGATCCTGAATTAGTGATCAGAAAAATATCCTCCCAAGAATCTGTTTCACAAGGGGAGCAGTTCTTGGGAAGAAGTTATCGGAATGAAACTTCCTTCTTGCCAAATAAATGTGGAGAGAATGAGAATGAATTGACACTGTGTAAAGACCCTCCCCATACTACCATCAGTCATGATGTATGGATGTCCACTTGAGGAGACACCTTGACTAGAGAGAATATTGTGCCTCAAACTTATGCCTGACTTCAAGTGGAATGCATATATATATATATATATATGATCCATTGTAAGATACAGGTAAAATGATTGGCAGCCTGTACCGCTCCAGTAAGTACCTGACTCTTCATGCTAGACTCTACCTTTATAAGAACCAGATCAGGCTGAAAATGGAGTACTGTTGCTATATTTGGGCAGCAGTTGACCAGACCTCACTCTCCAGTCTTGATGGAGCTCAAAAGCATCTACAAGTCCTTGTTGGAGAAGAATTATTTTCCACTTTCCAACCTCTCTCTCTCTCACAGGCAGGATGTGGTGAGTCTCTCACTGCTCTCCCACTACTACTATGGAAAGTGCTCTGTTGAACTATATCTCCTGGTTTCACCAGATCTGAATTTCACGGCTTCACTTACATTGTAGCAAACCACCCACATTCCCTCTGTATTCCTTTGGTGAGAAGTTCCACTCGAACATCTTCTTCCCATGAACCACTGCTCTATGGAATGGACTCCCAAGAGGATATTTCCTCAATCACTGCAATCTTAACTTGGCCAAGTCTAGAGTTATCTTCCCCTCTTATACATATAAACTACCCCTTAATGTAACCCTCTACCTCAAGTAGCGCTCGAGCCTGTAAAAAAAAAAAAAAAGTTAGTGTAGGAACTAGCTGTAAAGGTCTGAACTGGTTAAACTGAGGAATTTAGTCTGCCTGAACATTTTGTAATTAGATAACACTACTACTGGTACAATACCAAAGCACATTCAGTGGTCCATCCTGGATATGATGATAAACTGCATCTGTGTCCTGGGTAAGATGATAAACTAAGTCCAACAGTAAAGCCTCTCATCATGATGTTTTGAGGAGAATGGAACCACCTCGTAATTGCTGGTGTTCCCAGGTGCACCCTGACCTGGGGTGGTAGCACCTGTTAGGGTCCCAGTTATGGGCAAATAGTTAACCCCAAACTGGGGTCAAAACACTATGAAAGGTTTTAATACCAGAAATACTTTGTAAAAATTATTATCAGCAATAAATTTCTGAAGAAAAAATTATTACCAGCAATACATTTTTGAAGGGAAAAAAATATTACCAACAATAAAAATAACCCACTGAGGTTGATATTCCATAAAACAAACCAAACTAAACCATTTAGCGGTTATTTACTATATGTTCATTCTTCTTGGTGACTGATTAATTTTTGAAGTGAGAAGTTCATTTCTATATTAAAACCAAACAAAAAAAAAAAAAAATGAAAAATATAAACATGAAAAAAAAATACAAAGTTATAATCTTTTTCTTCAACCATTCCTTAACTTGATTGAAATATTTCTTTTCTTTTCTACTTGAACTGCCTCCCACCCACCCGTAATAGGGGTAATGGTCTTTCTGATAAAAGTTAGAGTATGTTAGTAAAAGTCGTGTGGAGGTCATTTAAGTCAACTTTAAGTATGTTATTTTTAGAAGATAGTCACATGCAAAAAAGCACTCAGGAGTGAAAAAAAAAATGATGACGATAGTTCCTTTTCATTATTACCATGGAAACAGACACAAGACGCCTTACTTGTGACAAAGAGAAATACAGAATCTAAGGAAGAATCTTTGTGTTGTCTAATAGTATATCTAATTTTACAGTTTACTGACAGAAATAGAGCAGACAGTGCAACTTTATGGTGAGTTGGCATCAAAAACTACCTACAGACTAAAAAATAAAAAAAGAAAAAAAAAAAAGAAAAAATGGCCATTTTCTATTTCGTTGACGCATGAATAATTCATCTTAAAAATCATGAGTAATTTAAATGGTTATGATTATCATTAAATATAAAGTCTGTTTTGAAAATAAGCGACCATTTTGGACACCTTGAAAATTATTTGCACAGCCTTGATATAAAATGGCAACTAATCAGAGGGGACCTTATTATGCCTTCATGTGTGAACAGACATACTCTGGTGCAATTAGGCTAAGTTAAGTGGGTTGATTTTTACATGTCAGTCCTTGTTGGGTCATTAAATGTTGAATTTTTCTTAACGGCTCCCAGTAAGCATTGAACTCACTACTCAGTCAACTAGGCCAGTTTTCTAACCATTACTATATACCAAGATATCTGGAAATGATATTACCATAAAGATGCATTGCTACTGAATTTTACTATGGAAAGGCATTGGAAATGTTTTTACCATGAAAATGCACTGGAAAGGAACTTAATATGAAAATGCACTGGAAAGGATCTTAATATGAAAATGCACTGGAAAGGAACTTAATATGAAAATGCACTGGAAAGGAACTTAATATGAAAATGCACTGGAAAGGAACTTAATATGAAAATGCATTGGAAAGGAACTTAATATGAAAATGCATTGGAAAGGATTTGTGGTTTATTGATTTTATGACATGTCAAAATTGGGTTATCTAATAGTGAATCAGGTCTGAATACACTATTCAGCAGTAATAATCCAACAGGCTAGTTTGTTAAATGTTGTATTATACTGAAGCATATGTGCAGTGGCATACAAGTAAGTGAAGTTCCTTACTATAGGACGGTTGCATTTATAATGACCAAGCAAACACATTCTTCAAACATCTTTTAGATCTTCTTAGTAAAACATCACATCATCCAGATCTGCTGACTCCCCATAAAATCCAAATTTGACTTCTTGCATCTTTCAGCTGTTGAAGGAATTCAACAGAAGGAGACTTTGGATTGTGCATGCAAATAAAGTGAAATGAAATGTGTGATAGTGACCCTAAAAAGAGGCATTTACAGACTGTTTTGAAAAGTGGAAGTGTTGCCAGGATTAGTGTATGAGGTCCCAAGAAGAGAACTTTCAAGAGGACTCAGGTGCCATTGCCCCAGGGTGGCTATTTTTCTTTGATAGTTTTGTAATTCATCACATGTGCATAATACAAGTAATAACAGAAAGACTAATATAAAATAAAGTATTTAATTACCAAACACAATTAAAATACATTAACAACAAAGAAGTAAAGAGTCAACAAAAAGATTGATTACTTATCAATTAATACATGACTGCATAGAACTGCTAAGAAAAGTACTAATTTGTCTTGAAACACGGGACACTCTAATGTCCAGGTTAACACAATAGTTAAACACGTAATTGTACCCTCATTCCAATGATATCTCTACTTATAGTAAATGGCAGTCTACATTTTCATTGTTTATAGATTCATGTTCAAATTCTGGTGTCAGCAGTGACACTTTTCATTCATATATGACAGTAAATAGCTTGATACTTTCTGGTCAAATTTCATATGAGTGTATGAGTCATCATCCTATACATATCACACTTGCAATAATTCCTAACTACTAACAAGATATTTTTCCTTATTTTCAGTGAATAGAAAGAGTAAAAATAAATCATTTTTCATTATACAGCCAGACATGCATTCCCATAGCAAAATCATTTCTAATGATTTCCTCAAGTAAAATCATTTCCATTGCAACCCCATAGTAACATCATTGACAATGCAACCCCATAGTAACATCATTGACAATGCAACCCCATAGTAACATCATTGACAATGCAACCCCATAGTAACATCATTGACAATGCAACCCCATAGTAACATCATTGACAATGCAACCCCATAGTAACATCATTGACAATGCATTCCTTTAGTAACATCATTGCTACTTTTGCTGTGTCACTTGATATGTAATCATTAGAGGGAATTGAAGTTTGGAGGTAATCCTTTCATAAATCCAAGGTTCTTATATCAAGTTTTACACAAATGGCTCATAAATGTTCTATATTCTATTTTAGCAATGCTTGTTATGAAAAAAAAAAAAAACTCATCAGGACTATATGTTCTTGATAATTCAAAAGCTAGTGTGGGTTTTATCTTTTTATAATGAATGCTTGTATATGTGGGTACATAAATCTGTCTTCTATCACTGAGTGATTGGTTTACTTGGAGTTAATGTAAGTTATATTCTGGACATAGTTGAATTGTTTAATATTTGGTAACATAAGCCCTGAATTGAAACCTCCAATACTTTTTTTTTAAAGATACTTTTGAACTGATCTTAGATAAGATCTGAAACTGGTCTTCACTTTTTTTCATCTTTCACAGCTGTTGATCAGCCTGTATATATATTTTTTTCTTTTTAAAGCAATTCACCCCAAGCAAGGTGGGAGTGCCATTAGTACGCAAGGGGCCACAGAGAGTGTAAGTAAGGGAAAAGACTAGGGATAGGGGGGTGAGGAAATAATAAAAAGAAGAACAGGGAACAAGGCAACAGAAGATGTCAGTTGACATTACATTTAAATTTTTGAAGATTATAGCTATCTGGGAAGCAAGTAAGAGAAAGGGAATTCCACTGTTGGGAAGTGTGAGAAAAGAAGCCATTAGAGTAGAAGAGGTGGTTACATTTAACTGTTTTGACAGTAAAAAGTAGTGCATTTGCATTATATGAGGGGCAATGAGTGATTTTTTTTTAATCAATTCACCTCGAGCAAGGCGGTAATGCCATTATTACACAGAGGGTTACAGGGAGTGAAATTGAAAGAAGATTGAGAATAGGGAGGATTGAGGGAAGAACAAAAGACGAATGTGGTTCAAGGAGACAGTGATTGTCATTGCATTTAAACTTTTGAAGATTGTCGTTATCAGGAAAAGCAAGGAAATGGAAGAGAGTTCCACAGGTGGAAAGTGCGTGAAAAGAAACTGTTGGAGTAGAAGTGGAAGTACCATTTGATTATTTCATCAGTAAAAGGGTGGGATGCCAGTTTAGTAGCACACTTAAATTCAGGGCAGCAAGGAAAAAATCTTGTGAGAGCAGTTGTCATCAAAATATTAATAGAAAAGACAGGGACAAGCCACATCACATCATTGAGAAGGTGACTAAAGTTGAGATGCCTGGTTAGAATTGATTACATTACAGATCCTTTTTTGAATTTTGTCAAGAATCTCGAGATGAATATCAGAAGCACCAGACCAGATATGGCAACAGCATTCAATGCATGGATGAATGGGAGATTTATAAATGTGCAAGATGGACTCTGATGAGAAAAAGTTTCTGTCAGGACACAGTGATCTGACTTTTCTTGTTGTAGATGTTGCTCATTTCAATGTAATTGTTCCACTTTATGTCAGTGGAAAACATGAGACCAAGAGGGCATAGAGTGCTGTTCTGGTGTCTAGCATCAGCCATGTTGATGGCAGGCAGAAAAGATTCTTTGTGGAAGCATGCATGTTGGACATTTAGCATTTTTTAAAAAATAGCTGAATCAGATCATCTTATATGCTCTCACTCTCTCTCTCTCTATATATATAATTTTCTAAAATCATATATAAGTATAATAGTACTATAAAGAAATACTATTATTGATACTAATCTACCATGATATTTGACTGAACTGCAATGGCATTCAATGGTTTATGACCATTAAAAATTTTATGCCTTTTCTTTTTTAGAGTGATCTTTGACCCAGAGCCATGTTTAAACAACAAGTCATTTTCTTCAAAACAGACCTCTTGGCTTTTAATTAGACTTTTACCTAGCAGATCCTCAAAAATGCAAAATTTGGGAAAAATGTCTGAAAACATATTCAAGGCATTTTTATCTTTTTAACCAAAAATGGTTGCCCGTATATTCTAAATATGGCCCTCAAAAAACCCATTCATACCTCCAACATCTACTTAATTGGCAGTTTTGAGAAATTGTCCATGGTGACATTTGAACTCTGGTGTGTGTAACCATTGCACGACTGTCTTATTATTAATACATATGGTCACTTACCTTAATTTCTTTCACCACTACTTCAGGTCTCCGTGCAGTTTTCAGCAATTTTTCATATTTATGTACATGTTTCTAAGAAAGAAAGAAAAGAAATAGTGTCAAACATTACCTCATATTTGTCAGAGTTGTAGATATTGGTATTGACTGAAACTATACAAACAATAACAAACAGGCTATTTTCAGAATAGAAACTATATAAACAACTGAAGATCAAAGATGACTGGAAAGCAAGAAGCTGGAAGAATTGTATACAAGTAAGAAATGTGAGAGAAGAAACTGTTAGCATAGAACTTACGGTTGCATCTAGCCATTTCAAGTGTAAAATGATGAGACCTTGTTACCAATCTGCTGCTAGGAAAGTTGGTTCACTGTGTAGTGTTAGACAATTTTTATCACCAGAATCTATTTTACAGATTTACAAGTCTGTCATTTGTGCATGCTTCGAATATTGCTGCAAGATATGACTCCATGCTCCTTCCATATATTTATAGATTCTTGATAAAATTCAAAGAAAAATCTGCAATGTTATTGGTCTTGAACTGGCATCCCAACTTCAGTCACTTTCCTATCTCTGTAACGTCACTTCCCTGTGTCTTTTCTATAAATATTTTCATGGTAATTGTTCTCATAGACTTTATAAATTTAAGCACAGTGCTAGATTGGCAACAAAATCTTTTTTTTTTTTTTAAGCATTTAACAAGCAAGGTGTTAGTGCCACTAGCATACAGAGAGTGAAAGTAAGAGAAAAGAGGGGTGGATAAAGAGAAGGACGGGGTCAAGATCAAGGCATCAGAAGGTGTCAACTGACATTGCATTTAAATTTTTGAAGATTATAGTTATCAGGGAAGCAAGTAAGAGGAAGGGAGTTCCACTGTCGGGAAGTGTGAGAGAAGACGTTGTTGGAGTAGAAGAGACGGTTATTTAACTGTTTTTGATAGTAAAAGGGTGTATCATGAAATGCCAAGAACAGCACGCTTAAATTTATGCAGTTGGGTTACCAGAAAAGTAAGACATGAAGTTACATGAAAATATTTGAAGAAAATATAAATATATATATATATTGAAAAGTATGTGATGTTGAGATGCCAGGTCAGGACCTATCACACTGTATAGCCGTTCTTATGGATTTTGCTCATGAGAACTTCATATATACAGTGCTGGCACCGGACTGTATATTGCAACAATATTCCATGCATGGACGAATGGTAGATTTGAAGACGAGAAAAAACCCTTCTAACGCGACAACACAGAGAACCAACTTTCCTTGTGGTAGATGTAGCTATTGATTCAGTGTAGTTGTTCCACCTCAGGTCAGTGGAAAACGTGAGGTCAAGAAGGCGCAGAGAGACGCTCACTTGAAGTTGAGCATCAGCCATGCTGATAGGAGACAGGGAAATTTCTCTATGGTAAATGGAGGCATTAAAATTTACAACTCAAATCCTCCCTCAGTCAACCACAGATTGGATCGGTGTAACTGTAAGTTCTTTGCTAACAGTTACATTTCTCGCACTTTTCGCCTGTGGAATTATTTTCAGGCTTCTTGCTTCCCAGTCAAGTTTGATCTTCAAAAAGTTAAATGCAATGTCAATCGTTATCTACTGTCTTTCAAATTCCTCTTTTATACTCAGTGATTCATTGTGTCTTAGTGCCTTTATTACCTTGCTTAGGGTGAAAAGAAAAAAAAAAAGAACAAAATGTTGGTTATTTGTTCTGCATGTAAAAAGTTTGATTGCCGCTGCTTTTAGTTGAGCTAAAAGTAGTAACTGCAACAAGAGAAAATAATTTTCAACATTTTCAAATGAATGCGTCGGATGAAGAAATTCTTTAAAAATATATTTTACTTAAAATTTTAATTGGCAATAAAAAAAAAATACAAAAAATAATAATTTTTCCGTTAACGTAATATTTATATTTCTTTAAAAAATATACTAAAATCATCAGCCAAAAGACATTTCTTCACTACGACGGAGACACGTAAATGTTTACACATTGAGTAAATGATATAGAATGAGAGAGGAAGACATGAATAAAGATTTATATATCATTAAAACTAAACGGCAACTGAAAGCAACAAGTGAAATGCCTAAAAGGACACCCATGTATCGTAAAGCAGCGATTGAAAAACCTAGAACGATCATGTATATTATAAGTACCAGTCACTGTAATGCCGAGAAGGACACATGTACATCATTCGTGGCCACAAAATAACCGAAATGGAAGCCAAGCAACTATGGAAGGAAGTTGAGAACATATACATGAGTTTTCCTTAAAAGCTGTACTCGTTTTCAAATATTTTAAATAATCTTCATATTTTCATTGCAAAATTCTTTATTCGTATTTTTATTTGATATTAATTTTGACTAATATTTACTTTCATCTTCATTTTTTTTTTAGATCAAATTACCAAACATTATTATTAATTTTTGACTAATATTTACTTTCATCTTCATTTTTTGTTAGATCAAGCATTACCAAACATTATTATTAATTTTTGACTAATATTTACTTTCATCTTCATTTTTTGTTAGATCAAGCATTACCAAACATTATTATTAATTTTTGACTAATATTTACTTCCATCTTTTTTGTTAGATGAAGCATTACCAACCATTATAAATTTTGAGGAATATTTACTTTCATGTCGGTAGTGTAATATTTAAAGGTGAAATCAGTGACACGTCTTTGAATTGCTGTCATGTTTGTTGCATTTACTTATACGAAACAACCCTTGGGAAATGTAGGAAGCCATATTTTTTTAGCAGAACAGAATGAGCTGTATAGGAGAAGTCCTCTGAATCAAAAGAGTGTGTCCCTGGCATAAATTACAAGAAAACAGAATGCATGGTCATCAGTAAGAGAAAAAGTCCGAAATGCGATTTACAGATCGGAAACACTAGAATCAAGCAAACTCGGATTTTTAAATATCTGGGAAACGTTCTGACAGAGGATGGTAAATGCGACACTGAGATATCCGTAGACGTATTGGGATGGCCAAAGACGCATTCCAAAAGCTGGGCAGAGTATTGCGAGACAGGAGGTTTTCTTTGGAAAAAAAGAAAAAAAGAAAAGAATACTGAGCTATTACGTGACCTCTGTTGTTCTTTACGGCAGCGAATGTTGGACGATTTCCTCAAAGATGAAGAAGAGACTCGAGGCGATGGTGATGTGGTTCTACAGAAGGATGCTAAGGATATCATGGACCGAGCGTGTGAACAATTATGAGGTCTTAGAGAGGATTCAAACAAGGAGGAGGCTTATACTTAACATCAGGAAGAGGCAGCTGAAGTTTCTGGGACACATAATGAGGAAGGAGGGCCTGGAGAATCTGATACTCACGGGTCGAATAGAGGGAAAGAGAGACAAGGGAAAACAACGCATGACATACCTAGCGGGCTTAAGCAAGTGGATGACAGAACGTGGTCTGGGGGAGGTGGCAGAGGGAAGGAACTTGTTGAGAACTGCAAGGGATAGAGGGAGGTGGAGAGCCATGATCGCCTACGTCCTGAAAGGACATGACACATAAATAAAAAAAAAAAGTTCATTTCCGGGACATTACTTGAACTGTAATTGATTCTTCAGCATAGTGGTTTTTTTTGTTTCAACCAAAAACATTGGTTTTTTACCTTGAAAACCCAAAATCCTTGTTTTAAACTCAAATGTTTTTTTTGGTTGTATTTTCCCTTTATCATTTTCAATTAATTTTGTCTTAAATTTAAAGGACGATTTTTTATAATTTTTTATCAAATTTTTGATGATATGAAAAATCGGTTTTGTTTTTTTATTTGTTGAATGGTATATTATTCATTTTTTATTCTGATTAATATTTTAATTCAGACCATCAATATGCGGCATTGGGTAGATTTGCTGATAAATCAAAATTTAAGGATAATTGAATAATTTTATGGGATTTCTTCCAGTGCATATAATCATTCCTTTTTCAAATTGGCTCTTATAAAATCTAAGAATATTCAAGTAGTTCTCAAATTTAGAATTTTACTTGCTTAAAAATAATTGATTTTTCTTCTTAAATTTTTTAAAGAATAAAAAAATTGGATGAAATTTCAAAGAGAAAAATCAACCACAGAATCTCATCATGAACTGATGAAAGCGTCATAAAGACATTAACACTTCCATTTCTAAACCATCTTTAATGTGATTGTCTTCTCAACTGCAATATAATCTTCGACGGAGACGAAGGGATTTTTTTCATATTAAAATTTTTTTTTTTTTTTTTTGATTTATTTCAAAAATTGAAAATCTCATTAATAAAAATTCATATTTTTATTCAAATGATTGAAAAATTTATATATTATATAATTCATGAAATATATAAAAAAAAAAAAAAAATATATAAATAAGAAAAAAAATTTTTCTGGTAAGAGCAATTTCTTAAATTTTAAGAAATAGTTTTAACATTTTCAAAAAAATATAAAAAAAAAATAAAATGAATAAAAAAAGATTATGATTCTTTTTTTATAAAAAATTTTTTTTCTGGTTTTTTCATTTCAATATTCAATAAAAAAATTCTTTGAGAAATAAATAAAGGAATAGGTGGATTTTAGAGGAAATTGCATTGAAAAAATAGAGGAGGATAAATGGAATGTATTTACAAATATAAGAACAGAGGAATAAATATATCAGAGACAAAAAAACTTTTATCTGACATACCAAAAAAAATTCTGGAAATTTTCATAATGTCAATAAGGACTTTTTTTTTTTTTTTTCTTTAAGATTAAGGAGAAATTTTTCTTTTCTAGACAAATTACCCGAGGTAAGTTTAATTTTTTTAAATAAAAATTTCGAGGATTTTTTAATAAAATGAAGAGTAATAAAGGACTTTTTTCAAATCCTTGAAAAGAAGAGTGAAAGAAAAATGAGGATTTAACCTATGATTCTTACAAGGATTTCTCGTGTGGACGATATTTTGTTTTTAGGTTGAGAGAAAATAAATTTTTAAAAGAACGTGAAAAAAAGATCAATAAATAAAAATAAAAGAGATTAACAAAAAAATTTATTTAAAATTTTCCATTTAATTTTTTATAGTTTTTTTTTTAAAATTTTTGTTTTTTTCA